TTTTCTCAGTGGCATTCTCACCTCTTGCACAGTGCGTGGAGAATTATTGGATGTTCTCCCAAATTCCCTGTGATGTACAGGTTTCCATAGCAGATGAATATAAAGTGTTGTCCAAAGAGAATAAACTTGAAAGTCACAGTACTAAATCATCAGTCAAATAACAGAGATATTTGACCAGTTTCAGAAGAAAAATCACAGATAATTGGATGAAAAGACCTTTGGAGAATACACTTTTCACTCCTGTCTATGTAGGTTTGTGAGACTATTCCTTAAAAACAACAACAACAACCACGCAATTTTTAAAATATTTAAATAGAGCAACTAAATGCCATCTCATGAGGGACATTCAATATTATTTCTTCATTAGTTCTACATCTAGTAGTAAATGCATCTTTAAATGATAGTAAACCTTTTTCATCATAAATTTATCTTTGAAGTTTTACCCTCTTCCGAATTCTAAGCATTTGAGACCAAACCAAGATGTCTAAAGATAAACATTTATTAAAAATTTAAGAAAATAATTGAAACTCTGTGCAGTTAAACATCTGGAAAAAAACATTAAAAGGAACATAAAATAGTAGCAATTAGGATCTTGCACATATGGAAGCATTTTATTTATTTATTAAAATATCTCAAATATATACCGGTACTACTTATTCCCCTTTCTGTCTGTTTTTAAATTTAGAATACTCTAGGATCACCCATTGCCTCCAAGAAAAAGATCTCATATTTGAAATGAAATTGATAGGTTTATGGGTACAACCTAGGACAAATTAACTGTGATGGGCAGAGCAATCTACCACCCATCTTGGACGCCATGGTCCACACTGCTTAATTTTCTTTTGGATCTGGAAGACCCCATTTGAGTTGCATGACTCAGATTGATGGGGTATGTTGTTGTTGTATATATTTCAACAAAGTCTGAGTGTTACTACCCATGGAAGAAGAGAACAGTGGTTACCCAGACTTCATTGCTGGCTGCCCATGGGCCCCCATGACAGTTCAGGCTTCAGGGCCCCCAAAATGTAGGTCCACCACTGCAACCGGGAAACTGCAACTAAAACTTGTAATGTGTAGTGATCCTTTTCAGTGTTTTGTTCTGACATTCCATCCCACTTTCAACCCAACTTTTCCTTCCTTTCCCTCCGGCTCAACAGCCAGCAGCCTGTGACTGCTCAGTCCACCACCACCACCCCAGGTTATGGTTATTTTGCCTGTTGATACCTCCCTCATGTGTGTGCAGTGCTGGGTTTACATATAAGCTAAACGAGCTGTAGCTTAGGGCCCCACTCTCTTGGGGGCCCCAAAAAAAGGTAAAGGAAAAAACACACCTGGATGTACATTTCAAAAATATAAGATAAAAAACAAATAAAATAAAACCTACATACAGCAACAGTGTTTTTGTTGTGTAGGATCCTAGGATGTAACCTTCTCCCTAAAATATCACTGGTTTGCTATTATTATTTGATATTATTGCAAGTTTCTAGAGACTGGATTATGAGTCTTTGTAAATTGTAGTTCTAAAGGAACTTTTGTTATTGCCAAATGCCAATGTGTTTGCATTATTAAGTTTGTTATGAATAAAAAATCATTTTAAGTTAGAGCTTTATAATTATTTCACTATTACAGTGGTACCTCAGGTTTCATACCCTTCAGGTTACATACGCTTCAGGTTACAGACTCCGCTAACCCAGAAATAGTGCTTCAGGTTAAGAACTTTGCTTCAGGATAAGAACAGAAATCGTGTTGCGGCAGCGCGGCGGCAGCAGGAGGCCCCATTAGCTAAAGTGGTGCTTCAGGTTAAGAACAGTTTCAGGTTAAGAACGGACCTCCGGAACAAATTAAGTACGTAACCAGAGGTACCACTGTAATATACTTCTTCTTAATTGTATTTCACTATTAATATACTTCTTCTTAATTATATTTCAGTTCAACAATTACTTTGATAAAATACATATTTTGTTATGTGCAAATGACTTTAGACACCTATTAGGTCCATAAATTACCATATAGCATATATTCAACACAAAAAAACAGCGACAATTTGTTGTTGACAGCTGGACATATAAAGGGTCCCATTACCTCAGTAGCTTAGGGCCTCATCAAACCTAAATCCGGCCCTGTGTGTTTGGTCCCATTTTGCCTCCATCAGCATTCACAGGTGGAACTTCAGAAACAAAGGGAGCATTTCCTTTAAGGAAAAGCTTGCATGGAACTGTAAGCTTATGACAACTCAACCCTTTCAAATAGTCCAGGACCGATGTGGAGGGTGAAGAAGCATTGTGCTGAGCTTTGAGTTTGGAAGAGGAGTCAGTCAGTCTCAGTCTCTCTCTTTCAGTCACTCAAACACATATATCTTAGACTAGCAAATATTGTTGTGGTACTCTAGAATTAGTCTCCCATAAGATAGGCAGGGGATGTGGGTGGTGCGGTGGCTTAAACCACAGAGCCTAGGACTTGCCGATCAGAAGGTCGGCGGTTCGAATCCCCGCGACATGGTGAGCTCCCGTTGCTCGGTCCCTGCTCCTTCCAACCTAGCAGTTCGAAAGCACGTCAAAGTGCAAGTAGATAAATAGGTACCGCTCCGGCGGGAAGGTACACGGCATTTCCGTGCGCTGCTGTGGTTCGCCAGAAGCGGCTTAGTCATGCTGGCCACATGACCCGGAAGCTGTCTGCGGACAAACGCTGGCTCCCTCGGCCAATAAAGTGAGATGAGCGCCGCAACCCCAGAGTCGGTCACGACTGGACCTAATGGTCAGGGGTCCCTTTACCTTTAAGATAGGCAGGGTGGATTGGCACAGGAGACAAGCAAAGTAAGGTCCACTGAGATGCAACACTGCAAAGCTTTATGGATTCTGTTTTTGTCCCATTCAATAGCTGGATTCTTTTAGAAAATACAGCCGGAATCCATGAGGAGAGCAAGATATCTGCAGAGCTGGCAAAAACGACTTGTACACCCCACACATTTAAAGCACATTCTCTCTCCCCCCCCCGCCGCCTCCCAGAAGTATGCTTAGGAACTGTAGTTACCACTCAAAGAGTTGCAATTTTCAGTTCCCTTAAAGTACAATTCCCAGGATGTTGGGCATGTGGATGGATGCTTTAAATGCACTTTGATTAATAATAATAATAATAATAATAATAATAATAATTTTTATTTATACCCCGCCCTCCCCAGCCAAGGCCGGGTTCAGGGTGGCTAACAAGCAATAATAAAAACAAATTGAATGAATACAACTTAAAAACAAAATTAAAATACAACATTAAAATATTGAAACATTAAAATATTAAAATGTAGCCTCATCACAGGAGGAAAAAGGAAAAAGGAAAAAGGAAAAAGGAAAAAGGAAAAAGGAAAAAGGAAAAAGGAAAATATATGGTACATATATTGGGCAGCTCATCTTGTGATGAGGTGGGAGGAGATGAAGACCACACACACACAGACACACACACACACACACACACACACACACACACACACCATATATCTAGAGTTTGCCATGCCCAAAACTCTAACACAGCGGAAGATGGTCCATTAGGACAAATTGAGCACTGTGCCACCAACCTCAGTCTGCCCTAAGCCAGCTCCTACCTGCCAGCCTTCTTACAACAAGTCGGGATTGGCACTGCCTGCCATCTTCCTCCTCCTAATTCTCAGTGTTGCCTTTGCAGAGCTCAACAAGGAGGAGGATGGGGACAAAACATGAATTAGGCAGCCTGTGTCTTTCATTGGTTCTCACTTCACCAGCAGTCAACCTTTCATTCTACCCCACCCGTCTCAATGGTCACTGGCCACCACTAGGAAGGTGATTTCCATGTACAGTACATGGTTCCTGGACACCTTTTTTTACCTCAATCAGCATTAGCAAAGGAAATGAAGTACTGCTCCACTATTTATGCAGAGAGAGCCCAATCTTGCTCTCATTACTCAAGCAATCCCCTAATTGATTAGTAACAAATTTCTAATCAGCGGGAGGCAAGAAATCAATGGAAGTATTTCTTGGGTTAGGAATGTCAGGCTCGGACAAAAGAGTAAGTGATTCCTGATGGGGAGCGAAGCCATCAATTAGTTTTTGCGTGGAAGATTCACACATCTTAGTCCTTTCCTGACGAATTAAAATGCACCCCTTTGCAGATGTCTCTGCATTACTGATGGTTCCATTAGCTCAAAGTGTCAGAGTGAGCTAGAATGTGGCAACTCTGAATTATTTCAACTGACTAAAACATTTATTCACTTTTTGCATTCAGTATGCAGTAGCAATGTAAGAACTTGTAAAAACAGTTTTCTGTGATGCAAACATACACATTCTATAAATAGTTTGAGGTGTGTAGGGTGGTGGTTTTTTAGTTCATTTTTGTTCAGATGCAGTCCCATTTGTAATATCTCAACGACCTGTTTATAGTATCAAGTCCTGTTTGTCTTCTATAAATCTGTGTGCATAGCATGCGTGTTTTGGTGTATTATTATTGTTTTTTCTTTATATACTTTTCAGGGAGACGTTGTGGTCTCATTCCCATGTGCAGGGATATTTCTTGATCTGCCATGACTTTGCCATTCTCACAGATAATTATATAATGTAAACTGCTTCCACTGAAAATGCTTTTTGAGACATGATCTTATCAGACCATGAAGTTAAGAAGAAATGAAAAGCAACTCTTGATCAGGCAGGCCAAAGGCCCATCTAGTCAGACATCATGATCTCGCATTGGCCAACCTATGATACAGTCACCAAGAAATGAACATACATGAACTCCCTAGTTTTAAGGCTCTTTCTACTGCTCTGCTACTGAATAGCAATTTTAGCCTGGTCCATTTGTTACTTGCTTCATTTCTGAACTGACCTGGGCTGAGACGTCAACGATAAAACTTCCGTCTTTCAAATGAACTTGTTACTGGTAAATAAATAAACAGGTCAGCAGAAAAACACTGCAGGAAGCTTTTCCTTAGAGTTGTCCATGTTCTTCTTGACCTGATATGCTTTTACCAGTCCACATCCCTTAGGGCAGGCATGGCCAAACTTGGCCCTCCAGCTGTTTTGGGACTACAATTCCCATCATCCCTGACCACTGGTCCTGTTAGCTAGGGATGATGGGAGTTGTAGTCCCAAAACAGCTGGAGGGCCAAGTTTGGCCATGCCTGCCTTAGGGCCTCAGTGCTGGAGGGGAGGCGGTTAAATCCACCCATTGGCTTTTTCTTCTTGTCTGTGTTATGCTCAGGCTGTCTCCTCCCTGACCATTCCCTCTGTGCCTTTGAAGTCTTGGAGGTGCCAACATCTAATGTGAGACATCTGAGACAAAAAGGGCTCCCCTTGTTCACTGGCACCATCTCCTGGGCAACCAGGTTTGTTTCGTACCCTAGTCATGTCTGCACAGCTGTGCCAACTCTCTTCTCACATGCTGGGGCAGGATGGCTTGGCGTTGTGATGATCTTGTCACATGTAGGCATCAATCCAGGAAGTCCAAGGACTGAAGAGCGGATTCTGATGTGGTGGGGAGAGGGGAGCACAGCACAAAGGCAGCGACATTCTTTCTATTACCATCTGCTCATAGCGTGTTTTGTCTTTTGTTCATATCTTATTTTGTGTTTTGCCTAGTACAGAGGGAAGTGCAGTTTCATTCCCGCTTCGAGTTTGTTGCTACATATGAAGTGCCAAAGGGGTGGGAAAGGGGAGACAAAATTGCAGTGACAAGAGTAGGGTAAGACATTTGTCCTGTTACTATAGGAACTGTTCGCGATGAATTCTGTTTGCCACAGTAGGCAGTATGGTCAAGTGGGTACTAAAAGGCACTGAGTATCTGCTTTCTTTTCTTGTCTAAAGAATGTGGGCTTGTAACCAGGTAAGATCATATGCCATCTATAGTTTAAAAAATATTTTATCTCACAGTTGAGTCGCATTAGCAGATGAGTAGGTGTCCTTGAACCATTAAGCATTATTTCCTTTTAGCATTCAAGTATTGTTCTTCCTTATATTTGGTCCTCATATCCAAGTTGTTGCATGCCTGTATTGGTGTGGACTATGTAGATAACAGTGGATAACAGGTGGCAGTGCCTGCTAAAGAACTGCAGACTAAAAGCTAAAAATTATGGGTGATAAAGTCAGCGTAGACCCACTAAAATCCATGTACTTAAGCCCATGACTTTTGGTAGGTCTACTCTGACTCAATTGGCTATCACCCTACGTCTACAGATTACATTAAGTGAATTCTGTTCAAATCAGGTACACCTTTTCCACTTGAGTATATTTTTAACTTTGTTTTATACAGCTAAGCAAATGTTAAGACAATATGTATACCATAGTTCATCACAGGAAGCATTCGTTTTAGTAAGGACCCTCTTGAAACTTGAGATCTCCTGCGGATTGTATGCCATGAGGAAAAAAACATGATGCTTATTGTGTTTTGATGTGCATTAAAACACAATATTAATAACAAACGTTTGGGAAGTTGTTGCTTTTGGAGGCTGGGGAGGGAAAGGTTTACTCTCCTGCTCCCACAACCCCATGACTGAAAACTGCCCACCCCCAGAAATTAAATTTGGAAAAATCCCCATATTGTCTCCAAGGTCACTTGTTTTCCCCAAATTGTATGTGTGCATAGGAGCCAACCCCTAGGGGGTCCTTTCAGCCCCACACAAATAAACTATTCAAAGGGGCTGAGCTCCCCTCAAAGTTGATGGGCATTCCCATTCAAATGGTGTGGTTGTTTGTGCTACATCTTTTTATTCAAGTTGCTACATTTCATTCAAGTTGGCACCCTTGTATGTGTGTATGGTGGTGGGGTATTTCAGGGAAGCATGTTTTTGGGGAGGGACGACAGCTGTCCTTTGCATGTGTCATGATCACACTCTTTCCAAATATTGCTTTTCCTCACGTGGCAATTAGGCTACAGATCAGCCTTCCGTCTGTACCAATGGAAGGTTATTTTTGAGCCTAAATTGCTGTGCCAGGATAGGGGGAGATCTTGGTGGAGTGTGGCGGTGGAGAAGGGAGGGTTAGCCCTCTCTACCATGGGCGTCATGAAGACCACCCCCTTTGTCAATTAGGCTGGGAGTGAGAGCTTGAAAATCATTCATGCAAAGTGAACAGTCTCGCTGAAAGGTGCTTAGATCTTTATGGCTCATCTCATGCTTGAAAAACTTTTTTATTGTTGGTTTTGTAGGATTGTCTCTAGGTTGTAGCGTGTGTGTGTGTGTGTGTGTGTGTGTGTGTGTGTGCAGGAGCTATTCAGATTTTCCTTGATCAACTAGATTTGCGGCAACACTGCCTTCAAGTGAAAATGCAAGGAGGTTTTGAAATGAACATTACACCTGAGACAAACAGTCCCATTAGACAGCTAAGCTGCCTTATGGCCCTCCTGAATATCATCTTAAAAGACAGAGATGGGAAGCTACAAGGGGTTTTAAGTCACAAGAGAATTGGACTGCAAAAGCTGCTCAGGTTGCTGAAGGAACTCAAGGCAGGAAGGTAATGATATTTGGGGGGTTTTGTTTTGTTTTTAAGTCAAGTCCCCAGAGGGTGTTAGCTGGGAAGCTGCATCCTGTGGATTTGCCCAAATATCAAATATTTGGCACACTTTGATTTTCTTGGCTCCAGCTAATAGCTGTAGGATTGCTGAGACAACAAAAGCAAAGCACCGTGGATGTGTTTATAGCTGCATAAATTTCTTGATGTCTTTTAACTTGTTAAATTGAACAGCTTTACGACTACAGCTAGATGGTGAGTATATTGTTACATCAGAACTCTGCATGGGTTACAGTACATCTAACAAATTTAGCTTGATCGAGACAACTAGATTTGTGGTAACTTTGCCATGAGCTAAAATGCAAACACTTTTTTTTCATGAATAATAATAACAATAATAATAAATTTTATTTATATCCCGCCCTCCCCAGCCGAAGCCGGGCTCAGGGCGGCTAACAACAATAAAACAGTATAAAAGTATAGCATAAACAACACTCTAAAATCATTCATTATAAAATTAATTAATTCAGGCCACTGGCAACCATTGGGCCATCAGTATATGGATACTGATGATGATAATCAATTGTTAACACATGGGACAAACCATTCCTTCTGTTAGGAAAGCCCACTTCTAATGGACCTCCTGAATATGTTTTGAAAATACATAATTCTTTCTGGAAATTCATCATTCACTTCTGTCTCTTTCTGTATTAATCTACTTTGTTGTCACTTTCAAAATCTAGCATTTTATGTTGTGTACTCCAGATGTAGTGGACTACAGCTCCCATTAAGCTGAGCCAGCATGGTGAAGGTTCAGGGATGATGGAATTTGTAGTCCAGAATTTTATTTTTTATTTTTTTATTAGTTTCTATACCGCCATTCATCCAAAGATCTCATGGCTGTTTGCAATGTAAAAAACAAAAAAGATACCATACCAACAATCAAACAACAAACAATAACCCCTCTACCACACACACACGCACACACACACAGTTTAAAGCTCATCAATTGTTTAGCTAGCCAAAGACTTGGGAGGAAAGGAATGTTTTCTTTCCTGGCACCTAAAGATATGTGATGAAGGTACCAGTTAAACCTCCCTGCGGAGATCATTTCACATGTGAGGAGCCACCACAGAAAAGGCTCATTCTTGTGTTGCCACCTTCCAGACCTCTCACGAAGGAGGCACACGAGCAAGGGCCTCAGACAATAATCACAGGGTCTGGATCAATTCATATGGGGAGAGGCAGTCCTTGAGGTACTGTAGTCCTAAGTCATTTAAGACTTTAGAGGTCAAAACCAACACTTTGAATTGGGCCCAGAATCTGATTGGCAGCCATTGACATGTATTGCTCAAGCCGTCTTGCCCCGCTGAGCTACCTGGCCACCAAATTCTGCTCCAGCTGGAGTGTCCAAACCACCTTCAGAGGCAATAGCACACATAACACGTTGCAGTAGTCTTACCTAGAGGTTATCTAGAGGTTACCAGGGCAGCATACGCAACAGAAGTTAGGCTATCCCTATCCAGACAGGGGTACCACACTCCTCACCACTGAGGCCACTTGAGCATCAAGTGACAGCACGAGGGATAAAATTGAACCCAGAAGAATGCCACATTGGAAGTTTTGCAGGGCCAGAAAGCACTCCCCAAGCACCACCCTCTGGAAATGACCATTCAGGTAGGAATAGAACCAAGTAGGAAGGGACACACCCCAAACTCAGATAGCTGCTCCAGAAGGATACCATGGTCTAAGCATACCACATTGGCTACCCTTAATGTAGAGAGAGTGTAAGACATGTAGCGAAATGTAAGACCTGCTGACATGATATCATGGATGTTGAAATGTTGCATAGGGAGAGAGGGGATGCAGTTTTATGTGGCAGCCATGTCAAGTAGGTCTGGACGATAACTTGTTTTCAACATATTGATATATCACCAGCTAAACATCACAGTATACCGATACACCTGAAATAAGGATGGAACTATTTAGAGACATTGACTAGCATCGTGGTTTTTCCTGCATCTTGATTTTTGCATAACACAAACCCACACACCATGATTCACAATATATTGCAGGCATAGGCAAACTTGGGTCTCCAGATGTTTTGGGACTACAACTCCCATCATCCCTAGCCAACAGGATCAGTGGTCAGGGATGATGGGAATTGTAGTCTTGAAACATCTGGAGGGCCAAGTTTGCCTATGCCTGGTATATTGCAAAGTCAAAAATTATGAAACCAATATCACGATATGGACTTCAAACCAGTTTTGGACGATATATCAATATCAAGTATCATCCTAATGTCAAGTATCATCCAAAACTAGAAACTCCTCTGGTTTCACCCAGTGGCCCTCCATCAGGCAAGTGAGCCAGCAACCCAGGACCTGAACCTTTCTCTGTCAAAGTAACCCATCCCTTGTCCCCTTCAGAGAAGTGGCTTGTCAAGTGGAGCAGAATTTCTATGTTGGTTTACCAAAAGTTTGGTCACTGTTGCTTACCGGGAAGGGAAGAGGTAAGGCATTGAGAAGGTTGGTGTGGTGCAATAACACCAGCAGGAACACCACCCCAATGCCTTGCCTATCCCTAGTCAGAAACAGTGACTCACCTGCAAGGAATCTAGTGTAGCAGCTCCACCCCATCCAGAAAACTGCTTCTGGCCCTTCAGATTAGGATATTCCAATCTCTGTGTTTGCTGCCATCTGTGCACCTTGTGCTCTGTCTCTTGTTTTGATGAATGAGCCAGTGCAGCTCTTTGCATATTTGCTTTGTATGTTTGCCGCTTCTATGGTACTTGTTTGTAAGCCTTTCCTGTAAATATAAAATCATAGTGGTGAGCAATGGGGATCGTTCATTCCCATTGCTTCTACAAGTTAATTTATCTCCCTAAATTTTTAGTGTTGCAATGCACGCCAAGCTCTTTTAAACCCGATTTAGCTGATATATTTTTTTGATTTCTTCAGGGAGCAGACAGTGCAGATTTATAACCTTCTGCATAAGGCATCATTTCTAAAATTGCTACCTATCACATTCAATGATTGTCCCAGTGTTCTTGTGATCTGCATATACAGTGTTGTGCTCCTATCTTCCCCTTGCGAATTTGTCTGAAATTTGTGCTTCTGAAAGGTAATTGAGAACTCTCTTGACTGTTGTACAAAAGCTGAGAACACACTCCTCTGAGGTCTAACAAGTTCTTCATCTGACAATGAAGCTGTATCAAAATAAATTAATGCTTAGAGGAGTTTTGCAGATTAACTGGAGATTGCTCATTTTAAGGATTTTTTTGGAAGGTGGGAGGGAGAATATAAATGACATAATTTGAAGTGATTCAGTTTTCTGCTTTCAATGTCAATGAAATGTTGGGCTCTCTTGATGGCACTTAACTGAATATCTTTTTCAGTAAGTGGCTCCCTTGCCACTTTGATACTCTGCGTGAAATACCGTAGGAAGAAGAGCAAGCTTCAAGGACTGTGGGTTATATTTTACTGCCTGGGCAAATGTTTAATGGTTAGAACTTCTCAAGCAGGCTGAGACCCAAGGAGTATGGAGACTGTCTTGGGAATGTCCTCCAACTGAGACTAGAAAAACCTGAAGAGAGCACAATTGAGTCTTTCTCCACCGGAGCAAGAATTAGAACTTAGCCGACAAAACATACACACACCAGCAGGTCATGTGCAGTTTGGTAGAAATGATTACAGGTGTTTAGATGATGAACAGCAGGTTGAGGAGAAGCCAGAATGGAGGGTCATCAGTGGTTCACATGAAGTCCAGAAGTTCAGCTGGAAAGAAAGTGACTCAGTGGAGACAGAGATTTTAAAATAATCATGAGATTAAAAACAACTGTATTGTATTTAAAAACTTTTAGAAATTCCTTCAAAGTACTTTACTAAGGATATTTTTATTAAATAATTTTTATTAATGTTGAATTACTAAAGTCTAATAACAGCCACAGTTTATCAATGTCAAATTACAATTCATATCCAAATACATATCAATTATAAAGCCAATTATAAAATTTGTGTGACTTCCCGTGTGCTGGATTTCGGGGTGCAAAGTTCTTATTTCTTCCTGCTTCTGACATCTTGATTAATCCAATTACATTCAGTCCTGATCTTAGTCCCTTATCAACAGCTACAGAGTTCTTGACTTCCATTCGTATTAACACTTTTAATAAATTTTATTTCCACAGGAGGAGTTCTATATCCTGTAAATTCCCTGTGTGAGAAGTTTATTTTTTCCATTTGTTTCTTCATTTTTCCTGTTCTGATCATGTCCTACCAGTTTGGTTAATACTTTAAGGCAAGCCTACCTCATTTGTACATTAACAATACATTAACTGAAATGTAGGAATCGTTCCAAATTCATACCCTCAAAGTGTCCTGATTTTCCAGGGTTAGTCCCAAAATTATGAAAACCATTCCGGCTTCTGATTTGATGCCAGAATGTCCCTATGTCCCTGTTGCCTCTCCATGGCATCTGCATGGCTGCGGCTGCTGCTGATCTCCTCCCTTGGGCTGCTGGAGAGCAGGTGAAGAGGTGAAGGTCCAGTCCGTTATTATGCGCTGGCTCAATGAGAAGAAAGGGGAAGTGGAGCGCAATAAGTCTTTTTTTAAAAAAAAAAATGCTTTGCACATCCATGTCTGGTCTTGCCCCTTTCTAGAGTTTATTTACCGGTATGTGTTTTTCTTTTTGAAAATCTACCAAAGAATAATAAGGGACGCGGGTGGTGCTGTAGGTTAAACCACAGAGCCTAGGACTTGCCGATCAGGTCGGCGGTTCGAATCCCCGCGATGGGGTGAGCTCCCGTTGCTCGGTCCCAGCTCCTGCCAACCTAGCAGTTTGAAAGCGCATCAAAGTGCAAATAGATAAATAGGTACTGCTCCGGCGGGAAGGTAAACAGCTTTTCCATGCGCTGCTCTGGTTTGCCAGAAGCGGTTTAGTCATGCTGGCCACATGATCCGGAAGCTGTACGCTGGCTCCCTCGGCCAATAAAGCGAGATGAGCACCGCAACCCCAGAGTCGGTCATGACTGGACCTAATGGTCAGGGATCCCTTTACCTTTACCTTTAGAGGTAAAGGTAAAGGTACCCCTGCCCGTACGGGCCAGTCGTGACCAACTCTGGGGTTGCGTGCTCATCTCTCTTAAGAGGCCGGGAGCCAGCGCTGTCTGAAGACACTTCCGGCTCACGTGGCCAGCGTGACGAAGCTGCTCTGGCGAGCCAGCACCAGCGCAGCGCACGGAAACGCCGTTTACCTTCCCGCTATAAAGCGGTACCTATTTATCTACTTGCACTTAGGGGTGCTTTCGAACTGCTAGGTGGGCAGGAGCTGGGACCGAACGACGGGAGCTCACCCCGTCGCGGGAATTCGAACCGCCGACCATACAATTGGCAAGTCCTAGGTACTGAGGTTTTACCCACAGCACCACCCGCATTCCTTTACCTTTTACCAAAGAATAAAATAAAATCAGGATTAAGGAGTTTTATCAGGATGGTGGCAGATGTATGTGTTGGGTCCCGTTGGTGTGGTGGTGGTGGAAATGCTCGGGGGGGGGGAGCAAAAATGGGGTGACAGGAGGGTCAGTTGCTGAGAAATGTCCCTATTCTCATTTGAGGAATGTTGACAGGTATGCGAATTTACACTTCTCTGAAATTTGCAATGCAGCTTTCCAGCCAAAACGTTTATATAAAAATGCATCTCTAAGGGAAAGTGTGCATTATATACATACAATGCTTAAAAATAAGATACAAAATGCATTGTATGATGCAAAATTTGCTTGCAAAAATGTGCATATATTGGGCAAGAATGCATAAAAAAATGTTTTATATCAGGATGAATGTGCACTAAGATATTTAGGAACTGATGTGGAAATATGGGGAAGTTATTTTAAGATTTGCAAACTGAAAGGGACAGATATTGAGAGTTTTGTCCATCCCTATAGCTTACATATTACAATAACAATACATCAATTGTAACAGAGTGAAACTCCCAAAGAACAATTCAAATAACAAATTCTATAAAGCATTGGGGGTTTGGGTTTTTGTTTCGTTTTTTTAAAAAAACCTACTGTAGCAGAAAAGTGTTGCCTAACTAAGAGGCAGCTCAATTAGATTAAGTTTTCACAGCTTTATGAAAAGATTAGAGTGTGGTGGACTTCTGGATGTCAACAGGTAAGGCGTTCTAGAGGTGTGAAGTCACCAAAACACCAGCATCTCTATTGTGCCTGCCAGTTACTTAATTTCCCTCCCCCTGAGGAACTCAGTGTAAGAGCTAAAGTGAATATTTACAATTTTTTGGAATACTGTGAAATTTCCCATTTCACCACTAAAAATTTTGAGTATGAAAATTGTAATACAATGAAGATCTCAGAAACTGTCAGATACTAATGCCATTGCATGTTGTTAACCAAAAATGAAACACAGAGCTTCCTTGTCAGGTGAACATACAGTGGCACCTTGAGTTACAAATGCCTCAGGTTATGAACGCTTCAGGTTACAAACTCAGCTAACCTGGAAGAGCATTGTTTAATGTTTGGATAAGATATAAAGATTTGTTAGAAAAGAAAACCCCAAAATGGTTGTCACCAATGGAAGCGAAGGCACAGAAAAAACTCAATATGGAGGCCAAATGGCCGAAATATTGGGAAATTCTGGAACAAGATGGAGACAGATTAAAATTGCAGAGCTTTGAAAAATTGAAAAATAAAGTGCGAGATTGGCTCCATTATTACCAAATAATGGAGGCATACAATTTGGACAAAAAAGTTGGTTTCCAGGTGGAAAAATCAAAATTGGAAACAGAACTGTTAGATCCAAAATCAAGAATTTGTCAAGAATGTATAACTTGCTGTTGAAATGGAACACTCAGGATGAAACGGTGAAATCAGCTATGATTAAATGGGCACAAGATGTTGGACATAATATAATGATGGCTGACTGGGAACAGTTATGGACCACAGGTATGAAATTCATGGCATGTAATGCCCTAAGAGAAAATTTAATGAAAATGATTTATAGGTGGTACATGACACCAGTCAAGCTTGCAAAAATTTACCATTTGCCCAACAATAAATGTTGGAAATGTAATGAGACTGAAGGTACATTCTTTCACCTTTGGTGGACATGCCCAAGGATTAAGACATACTGGGAGATGATTTATAATGAAATGAAAAAGATATTTAAATATACCTTCCTGAAGAAACCAGAGGCCTTTCTCCTGGGCATGGTCGGCCAATTGGTGCCAAAGAAGGATAGAACCTTTTTTATGTATGCAACAACAGCAGCAAGAATACTCATCGCGAAGTATTGGAAGACACAAGATTTACCCACCCGGGAAGAATGGCAGATGAAGTTGATGGACTATATGGAACTGGCAGAAATGACTGGCAGAATCCGAGACCAGGGAGAAGAGTTGGTGGAAGAAGACTGGAAAAAGTTTAAAGACTATTTACAGAAATACTGTAAAATTAATGAATGTTAGAAAAATGTTGGAATGAAGTTAAATGGCTTTAGTAGAAATATTATAAGGAATTAAGTATAAATAGATTAATAGAGTATTAAAGGAAAAAATAAGGTTAGAATGTGTTAAGATAATTATAGGATAGAAAACAGAGGAAGATGGAAAGGAATTGCTGAAACAATTAACAGAAGTGGAATACAAAAAGGGAGGTGTGAGGAGGTCGTGGAAATGAGTGAATGAAAGATAAGATATTGAAATTGTTTGATTTATTTTAAACTGTTTTTGTTTTGTTTTGTTAGTTTAATGTGTTTAATGTGTCAGTTTTATGTAGTGTTTTTGTATTGTATTGTATTGTATTTGTAGTGTTTAAATTGTTGGAAAAGTAATAATTTTTTTTTATATAAAAAAAGAGTTACCTCGAGTTGAGAACTTTGCCTCAGGACGGGAACGGAAATCATGTGCCGGTGGCACAGCGACAGCCCATTAGCAAAAGCACGCCTCTAGTTAAGAACAGTTTCAGGTTAAGAACAGACCTCAGGAACAATTAAGTTCGTAACTAGAGGTACCACTCTATATGGAAATTGCTACCTGGAGGTGAGGAATTTTAAAAACACCCGGATACATTGTTGTATATCAGCTGTCAGCAGTGATAAGTACAACGCGCCATTTCATGCTACACATGAAATATAGCTAAATATCAATTCTAATGCCCTGGGTTTCAAAATCAAATATTATTGGGTTTCAGGATATGTCTGTGGAATATTCACCAATGCAGTCTGAAAAGCCAAATTTAAATGGAAAAGATGTCTGATCTACTTATGCAGAAGCAATGGGGATTAGAATTCAGAGTTGGTAGAACAGACTGTACCATTTTAGATTGCAGGTGGGGATATCACTGTTGTTGTTTTTTTATAAAAATTTTATTAACAAAATTATAAACAAAACAAACAAATAAAGAAACAAACATGGATCATAACCTTATTAAAATTACACTTATTAACATTGTTAAGTGACTTCCTCGCTTCCCCTTGGTTGAATTTCCATGCACTTCCTTTTAACGGTTTTCCAAATCAAAGTTCTTATGAAATTTAACTTAAACATTAACATCCTTATATCCTTTAATTTTAAAATTAAACATATTGATTCATCACTTAACTTATATGAAATCCTAAGCCAATTAAATATCTGCAAGCTATTTCCAATTAATTTAATTTTACATATTTAACCAAATAATCATTAAATTTTGTCCATTGGGGATATCGCTGTTGGAAGGTTGTCATGTGAAAGAAAATAACATACACCACTATGTAGAAGAAAACAAGTAATGCCCACTTCCCTCTGTGCTGCTTCTTTATAATATTTTTTATGCAAAGGGAACATTTAAAAAATGTGATTCCACCACACGGCATTACATCTAGTACTGGCCTTTTTAACCCTTCATCCCCACCTCATCATGTGACATGTGTAGATGTCCCCATCATCCAACCAGGCTGTTGATGGGGATGCTTGAGGAATTTGACATTTGTGAATTCTGATACTAACTGACCTGATCGATACAGATAAATATGCAGATTGTGTAGGAATGTGTATGTATTTCACTGTAGTGTGTGTGTGTGTGTGTGTGTGGATCACGGGTTGTTGTGTGGGATTTAGACTGAAAACAGACTGATTTGCTCTTCCCCGGGCGCATGGAATGCAGTTTAATGGGAAGGAATTGTGATCACCATTGTGATATGTTCATGAATATGTATGTGTGAGCACTGTGTGAATATGTAGAAATAGTAAAATATGATTCCCACAGACAAGGGATTTAGCATTTTTTTCCTGAAATTGGTCCAGGCTTACTGCCAGCCTTTTAAAAGTCAAAATATGTGAGGAGCGTCGCATGACAGATAATTCCCTGCACCCAACCAAATCTTCATGGAGCATGCTTATTACAGATCAAAATAAATTCCTTACAGACATCTTCCACTTTAAATTAATCTCCAGGATTAACTCCAGATGGCTCTAAATAACAGTGTGAATATGATTAAGATTTCACACAAGTGACTTTTTTAAAAAGAAGAAGAGATGATACCTGCACTTCCACGGAGTAAAAAAAAAGCCTTCTCATTTTAATGGAGATCACACAACTGAGCCTAGGATGAAGCCTCTGAAGACATATTCCTGACTGAGACACTTCAATTATATTGGTAGATTGCTCAGGATAGGATGCTTATAATTGACCAGTGACTTATTTCATATTCTCAAATCCAGCTGAGTTGGAGACCGTCTGAAGTTTCCTGACTGTTTTTCAGACAAGTTTCAACCTGTGCTGCATTTTGATACTCTCCTTGGAAATGGTTTTCTTGAGCTTCCTCCTGAATACTCAAACATATTTTCTATATAGCTGTATACACTTGCCAGCCTGGACCTCACTGGCTGGATAGCTCACTCAAACACTGCGGCGGGAGGGGGTATATTTATCTGCAAACTATAGACATCTCTCCGCATTCGTGGACTACGGAATGGAAGAAAGACTTATACAAAATTAAACAACTGCAGATTGTGGAGTAGGTTAGGCTGAGAAAGAGAGTGACTGACCCAAGTGAGCTGCAGAATGGAAGACAAGAAAACAAGAGAGTAAGACCTCACTTCACCTCATAA